TACACTAGCAAAACCTATATGAAGTTCAATGGCAAAGGCATGCAAACATTCAGAAATGAAAATATGAAAGGCGTAAATTTTTTCACAGAACTGTATAGGCATCGGATTGTAGTTTAAATCTATTACACCAGCACTGAATGGCCAAATCCCCAGATTCATTGGAACGCGGTAGCATATATATTTAATATTTAATAGGTTTGTTTTTGTTGCTGCTTTTATTATTATCATCATCATCATCTCCTTGTCCTATTCCTTAAATACTATTATCACTTACTGTGCTGCCTTTCCAATTATGCAGTTCAACAATCCCATTTTAGCTATTGTGTAACTTGAAAATCAGAGCTTGGATATTTGCTAGCATGCAAAGCAATTGACAGTGTTGATTTAGCTCTTCATATGTCTGAAAACGATTTACTGAATTATTCTACAAAAAGTCTAGCCTACCATATGGTATTTAAAAAAATTATTTCAGTTTTAAAATTTTACCTGATTTAAACATAACTTGAGATACCAGAAGATCATTCAGTGTGCTAATGTTATCCCATCCAGGAAGAAATACTAGAATTGCGCCTTCCTGGATATAAAACAGGTGTATTAAACAACACATCTGCATTTTTAAATTCATCAATGTAGCATACAATATAGTCACATACACAATTCTAGGTCAATCTTTTTAAATAGAGCTTGTTTAAACAGAGGTAGGCCAACCCTCATCTGAAGCTTAGGCCTAGATTTTTTTCTCTTTTATTTCCAGCCTCCAACAACCAGAGGATCCTGTGCCACTGAAACCGAAAGAAGACAACATGGAAATGTTCAACACCAAGATCTCTCCTTTCGTTGTGGGGATTCGGGAGGAAATCTACAATTACAGGAGCATACATTATCTACCAGCAATAGTTAAATTTATTTTATTGCTTAACTTCTATTTGCTTTTATAAATAAAACTGTAAATACCACTATATTTCTCTGGTTAGCTGCTGAATTTTGAGTGGAGGTGATGTCTATTTCCATGTGGACTCAATTGAACTCAATGTGGTGAAGATACTTAATACTTGATCCTATTCCTTTTCCTCCACAACAAGCCCATGAGGTGGGCTGGACAGAGAGAGAGTGGCTGGTCCAAAATTACCCATTTGGCTCTCTTGCCTAAGGCAGGATTAGAACTCACAGTCTCCTGCTTTCTAGGCTAGCATCTTAACCACTACACCAATATGGCTCTTTTCACTGTTTCTCAATATATATTAACACTCCTTTGCAGACAACTAAACAAACAACTAAATAAAACAGGCAAGCCAATAAGAAACTCACCTCTTCTTCAAGAGCAATATATCTGATTAATGCTGCTATCAAATCAAGATCAATTTTATCATCATCCATCATTTCCAGTGCATCAATTGTAGTTTCTGAATATCTAGAAATCGTGTAGAGATTAAAGAATCAGTACAGCCAATACAAAATTGCTATGCTTAAGAAGAGTATGCTGCTTCTTACTGTATGAAAAAAAGAACACAACTAATTATGGTGCATGTTAAGGCCAGAGTAATAGTTCTAAAAAGGAATTACATTAAATAAACTATTTGCTTTCAAGCAATGAGAACTTTTTTTTGCTTTCCCCCATCCTAGTGTATCTAAATTTGTCATAAATTGATTTACTGAGAATTCAATACACTTATCAAAAATTCTAAAAATACTGCTACTTTAAAACAGTTGTATACTTCTGTTTCACAATCTCACATATTGACCATGAAGTCAATTATCAGTTAGTCAATAGCTTGCTTCCTTAGAAAAAGTTAAGAGTTACTAGATAAAATAAAATTTGAAAGTTGCTTTAAAAAGGGAGATGAAATATACATACCGTGTTCTTAGTTGCTTTACATAATCTGGCCATTGTTCATGATAAATTTCTTCTTTTTCTTCCTTTTCTGGTCTGCTTATATGTCCCTGCATAAATCTCTTTTTCCAATGCGGCCTGCGATCTGTATTTTCTGGCATGTATCTTCAAACAGACACAATGTTATGATTATAGTAAGATTAGATTTGCTTGCAAAATGGATTTTCACTTTTTTTTATTGCACTACAAGTAATCCTTGCTTAATGTAATTGGGACCAGAATTTCTATCGGTAAGCAATGTGGTCATAAAGCACTACATCGTGTAACTGTTTCACTTAGCTATTGACTGTATTACTTAACAACAGCAATCTCAGCAATCGCTGTTGCCATAGTTGTGTGAAAATTGTGGGCTGTTGGGTTAGGACCTCACGCAATGGTGACTTGCAACTTCCTGCCAGCTTCCCACAAGCAAAGCCAAGGCAGACGCTGGCTGGAAGGTGCAAATCCTAGGTAGCTTGCAAGCAAACCAAAGGGCAGGTGAATACTACAGAGTGAGGTAGGTGAGTGCTGGGGCACCATTCAATTTTGTGCAGATTGGGGAGAGGATGTTGCAAGTATGCTATGGAGTCAGGGCTTTTTTTCAGCCGGAACGCGGCGGAACCGCGTTCCGGCACCTTTTTCCGGGCCGGCCGCACCGGGCGCAACATCTGGGGGGGCGCGCTCGCACTCGCAGCTCTCTGCCCCTGCCTGGCTCACAACCGCGGCCATAGGGAGGCTCGGTCGGCGCGCCCCTGGCCCGTTTCCTAGGCGACCCTGCCCGAGCA